ACTTTCTACTTCTTACATGTTGAACCCAAATACCTGTACTTTCTACTTCTTACATGTTTGAACTCAAATACCTGTACTTTCTACTCTACATGTTGAACACAAATACCTGTACTTTCTACTTCTTACATGTTGAACACCAAATACCTGTACTTTTCTACTTCTTACATGTTGAACACAAATACCTGTACTTTCTACTCTTACATGTTGAACACAAATACCTGTACTTTCTACTTCTTACATGTTGAACACAAATACCTGTACTTTCTACTTCTTACATGTTGAACTCAAATACCTGTACTTTCTACTTCTTACATGTTGAACACAAATACCTGTACTTTCTACTTCTTACATGTTGAACACAAATACCTGTACTTTCTACTTCTCACATGTTGAACTCAAATACCTGTACTTTCTACTTCTTACAATTTGAACCCAAATACCTGTACTTTCTACTTCTCACATGTTGAACACAAATACCTGTACTTTCTACTTCTTACAATTTGAACCCAAATACCTGTACTTTCTACTTCTTACATGTTGAACTCAAATACCTGTACTTTCTACTTCTTACATGTTGAACCCAAATACCTGTACTTTCTACTTCTTACATGTTGAACTCAAATACCTGTACTTTCTACTTCTTACATGTTGAACACAAATACCTGTACTTTCTACTTCTTACATGTTGAACCCAAATACCTGTACTTTCTACTTCTTACATGTTGAACACAAATACCTGTACTTTCTACTTCTTACATGTTGAACTCAAATACCTGTACTTTCTACTTCTTACATGTTGAACACAAATACCTGTATTTCTACTTCTTACATGTTGAACACAAATACCTGTACTTTCTACTTCTTACATGTTGAACACAAATACCTGTACTTTCTACTTCTTACATGTTGAACACAATACCTGTACTTTCTACTTCTTACATGTTGAACACAAATACCTGTACTTTCTACTTCTTACATGTTGAACACAAATACCTGTACTTTCTACTTCTTACATGTTGAACACAAATACCTGTACTTTCTACTTCTTACATGTTGAACACAAATACCTGTACTTTCTACTTCTTACATTTTGAACACAAATACCTGTACTTTCTACTTCTTACAATTTGAACCCAAATACCTGTACTTTCTACTTCTTACAATTTGAACCCAAATACCTGTACTTTCTACTTCTTACATGTTGAACCAAATAGTACTTTCTACTTCTTACATGTTGAACTCAAATACCTGTACTTTCTACTTCTTACATGTTGAACACAAATACCTGTACTTCTACTTCTTACATGTTGAACCCAAATACCTGTACTTTCTACGTCTTACATGTTGAACACAAATACCTGTACTTCTACTTCTTACATGTTTGAACTCAAATACCTGTACTTTCTACTTCTTACATGTGAACTCAAATACCTGTACTTTCTACTTCTTACATGTTGAACACAAATACCTGTACTTTCTACTTCTTACATGTTGAACTCAAATACCTGACTTTCTACTTCTTAAATGTTGAACCAAATACCTGTACTTTCTACTTCTTACATGTTGAACACAAATACCTTTACTTTTACTTCTTACATGTTGAACACAAATACCTGTACTTTCTACTTCTCACATGTTGAACCCAAATACCTGTACTTTCTACTTCTTACATGTTGAACACAAATACCTGTACTTTCTACTTCTTACATGTTGAACCCAAATACCTGTACTTTCTACTTCTTACATGTTGAACTCAAATACCTGTACTTTCTACTTCTTACATGTTGAACACAAATACCTGTACTTTCTACTTCTTACATGTTGAACACCAATACCTGTACTTTCTACTTCTTACATGTTGAACACAAATACCTGTACTTTCTACTTCTTACATGTTGAACAAATACCTGTACTTTCTACTTCTTACATGTTGAACTCAAATACCTGTACTTTCTACTTCTTACATGTTGAACACAAATACCTGTACTTTCTACTTCTTACATGTTGAACACAAATACCTGTACTTTCTACTTCTCACATGTTGAACTCAAATACCTGTACTTTCTACTTCTTACAATTTGAACCCAAATACCTGTACTTTCTACTTCTCACATGTTGAACACAAATACCTGTACTTTCTACTTCTTACAATTTGAACCCAAATACCTGTACTTTCTACTTCTTACATGTTGAACTCAAATACCTGTACTTTCTACTTCTTACATGTTGAACCCAAATACCTGTACTTCTACTTCTTACATGTTGAACTCAAATACCTGTACTTTCTACTTCTTACATGTTGAACACAAATACCTGTACTTTCTACTTCTTACATGTTGAACCCAAATACCTGTACTTTCTACTTCTTACATGTTGAACACAAATACCTGTACTTTCTACTTCTTACATGTTGAACTCAAATACCTGTACTTTCTACTTCTTACATGTTGAACACAAATACCTGTACTTTCTACTTCTTACATGTTGAACACAAATACCTGTACTTTCTACTTCTTACATGTTGAACCCAAATACCTGTACTTTCTACTTCTTACATGTTGAACTCAAATACCTGTACTTTCTACTTCTTACATGTTGAACACAAATACCTGTACTTTCTACTTCTTACAGGTTGAAACAAATACCTGTACTTTCTACTTCTTACATGTTGAACACAAATACCTGTACTTTCTACTTCTTACATGTTGAACACAAATACCTGTACTTTCTACTTCTTACATGTTGAACACAAATACCTGTACTTTCTACTTCTTACATGTTGAACACAAATACCTGTACTTTCTACTTCTCACATGTTGAACTCAAATACCTGTACTTTCTACTTCTTACATGTTGAACACAAATACCTGTACTTTCTACTTCTTACAATTTGAACCCAAATACCTGTACTTTCTACTTCTTACATGTTGAACACAAATACCTGTACTTTCTACTTCTTACATGTTGAACACAAATACCTGTACTTTCTACTTCTTACATGTTGAACACAAATACCTGTACTTTCTACTTCTTACATGTTGAACACAAATACCTGTACTTTCTACTTCTTACAATTTGAACACAAATACCTGTACTTTCTACTTCTTACATGTTGAACACAAATACCTGTACTTTCTACTTCTTACATGTTGAACACAAATACCTGTACTTTCTACTTCTTACAATTTGAACCCAAATACCTGTACTTTCTACTTCTTACATGTTGAACACAAATACCTGTACTTTCTACTTCTTACATGTTGAACCCAAATACCTGTACTTTCTACTTCTTACATGTTGAACACAAATACCTGTACTTTCTACTTCTTACATGTTGAACACAAATACCTGTACTTTCTACTTCTTACATGTTGAACACAAATACCTGTACTTTCTACTTCTTACATGTTGAACACAAATACCTGTACTTTCTACTTCTTACAATTTGAACACAAATACCTGTACTTTCTACTTCTTACATGTTGAACACAAATACCTGTACTTTCTACTTCTTACATGTTGAACACAAATACCTGTACTTTCTACTTCTCACATGTTGAACACAAATACCTGTACTTTCTACTTCTTACATGTTAACACAAATACCTGTACTTTCTACTTCTTACATGTTGAACACAAATACCTGTACTTTCTACTTCTTACATGTTGAACACAAATACCTGTACTTTCTACTTCTTACATGTTGAACACAAATACCTGTACTTTCTACTTCTTACATGTTGAACACAAATACCTGTACTTTCTACTTCTTACATGTTGAACACAAATACCTGTACTTTCTACTTCTCACATGTTGAACTCAAATACCTGTACTTTCTACTTCTTACATGTTGAACACAAATACCTGTACTTTCTACTTCTCACATGTTGAACACAAATACCTGTACTTTCTACTTCTTACACTTTGAACACAAATACCTGTACTTTCTACTTCTCACATGTTGAACTCAAATACCTGTACTTTCTACTTCTTACATGTTGAACCCAAATACCTGTACTTTCTACTTCTCACATGTTGAACTCAAATACCTGTACTTTCTACTTCTCACATGTTGAACCCAAATACCTGTACTTTCTACTTCTCACATGTTGAACACAAATACCTGTACTTTCTACTTCTTACACTTTGAACACAAATACCTGTACTTTCTACTTCTCACATGTTGAACTCAAATACCTGTACTTTCTACTTCTCACATGTTGAACACAAATACCTGTACTTTCTACTTCTCACATGTTGAACTCAAATACCTGTACTTTCTACTTCTCACATGTTGAACCCAAATACCTGTACTTTCTACTTCTTACATGTTGAACCCAAATACCTGTACTTTCTACTTCTCACATGTTGAACCCAAATACCTGTACTTTCTACTTCTTACATGTTGAACACAAATACCTGTACTTTCTACTTCTTACATGTTGAACACTAATACCTGTACTTTCTACTTCTCACATGTTGAACCCAAATACCTGTACTTTCTACTTCTTACATGTTGAACACAAATACCTGTACTTTCTACTTCTCACATGTTGAACCCAAATACCTGTACTTTCTACTTCTCACATTTCCCAAACAGGCTGGTTCCTTTAGTTTGAATGTGTGTTTGGTGGCGTGATCATTATTATTTAGAGTCATTGCGTGCCTATTGATTTGAACACGATCCGTATCCATCATTTCCTGGTCTTCTCTAAAGAAGAGGGACCAATGAAAACGTTGTCATGTTGCCGTTGTTCAGCATGGAAACATTCATTAGCTAACAATGACATTATTGTTCTATTAATATAAAGGGAGGTCAAGGTACTCTTTAAAACAGCTGCTAGTTATGGGTACTTTTTACTGAAGTACATTTCAAAGCCTCTTACTTTGACTTGAGTAAAGAAGTTTAGTCAGTACTTCTACTTTTACCAGAGTATTTTTAAACACGAGTATCTGTACTTCTACTTGAGTAAAGGATGTGTGTACTCTCTCTGATCAGGTGGTGTTCAGGGCGAAGCGAGGAATCAGCTATATGGGCGACGTGGTGATCGATGATGTCACCTTCCTGCACTGCGTCCCCCCCCCCTCCTCAGGTGACCCCTGCACACCTGAGCAGTTCACCTGCAGGAACCAGAACTGCATCTCCCAGGATCAGCTGTGTGACTTCATCGATCACTGCGGGGACCAATCAGACGAGGAGCCCTACATCTGCCGTGAGGAACCCTCTTTTTCACGTGACAATAAAAGCCTTGAATGTTGAAACTTTTTAAATCGTAAACATCGACCCGTTGTGTTTTCAGAAGGTTTCAGTTCTCGCTGCAGCTTTGAGTTCGATCTGTGTTCGTGGCGTCAGAGTGGAATGGATGATTTTGATTGGCTGATCAAAGCGGGCAGCACTCTTACAGGCGGCACGGGGCCAATCAGTGACCACACCCTCAGAGACCCCACCGGACACTACCTGTACCTGGAGGGCTCTTTCCCGCAGGCAGCAGGACAGTCCGCCCGAATCTCAGGACCCCTGCTGAGCCGCCGCAGCGAACACTGCCAGGTGAGGGGAATAATAATAACTAAGCGACATGTGAACGTATAATAAACATATTATTTTCTTTGCAAGGTCTTCATATTTATTACGGTGGTATCGACCCCCTCCTCTAACTCTCAGCAGGGAAGATAAAGGGTTCCCTCATGTTGAACTAGTGTGTGTGCGTGTGTGTGTGTGTGCGTGCGTGCGTGCGTGCGTGCGTGCGTGCGTGCGTGCGTGCGTGCGTGCGTGCGTGCGTGCGTGCGTGCGTGCGTGTGCGTTGATTGACAGCTCAGTGTGCTCTGCGTCTCGTCTGTCTTATCCCTCTCTGGACCTGTCAATCACGCAGCCGGCGAAAAGGCACCAATTCAAGTGAAGGGAGGGAGGGAGACGAAGAGGAGGGAGAGGAAGAGGAAGGGCAAGCGCTCTCCTGAGATGAAGAGTGTGCATCAATTTGTTAAAAACCAACAAGTGCCTCAGTGCCGTGTGAGGGAGAGACTATGTTTTGTTACTGCTTTAATAAAGACAAGGAGAAAGGGGAATCGATCTGGAGACGTCATTAAACCTTGATTACTCCTCTACACGTTACAACCATTTCTTTCTTCGCCTCCTTCTGAGAAAGGAAAGTCCTAATTGGAAAGAAAGCAGAGTGCTAATGAGCAACAGTGAAGTGTTCAAAGTAAAGTAAACAGTCTGTTCTTTGGGTATTAGGCAGACGCCTCATCAGTTCCTGTCACATTCCTCTTCTCTCCACGTTACGTGTATACACATATTCTATACATATTTTTATATATATTTGTACTTTTGTATTCGGGATTGTGGGAAACGGTATTTCGATCTCTCTGTCTGTACCCACAAACTTTGACTTCTCTGCAGGTGCGTTTCTTTGTGCACATGTCAGGAGAAGGCATCGGGACCCTCAGTGTGTTCAGAGGAGGTGAAGCACGAGGGTTTGATCTGCTGGTGAACCTGACGGGGGATCAGGGTCACGCCTGGCAGAGGATGGAGGTCCAGCTGAGCCGCCAGGAAGAAGACTTCCAGGTGGTGTTTGAGGGCAAAGTGGGGAAAAACCCAAAGGGAGACATCTGCCTGGACGACATCAGCTTCTCCTCAGGGTGTCTGCTCGCTTCAGAAGAAGAAGAAGACAACACTCTTCCTCCTGCAGGTACACACTTGTTTTACGGATGAACAGGCATGAAACGTGTTAGAAAAGTCTCACTGGTCACGGCTTTCTCAAAAGATTCTGACTTTTCTCAAAATTCGGACTTTTCTCAAAATGTTGACTTTTTCTGAATACTTAAAAATGTTAATAATCCCTGGTCTCCGGCTTGAGCTTCAATCTCAGGATCCGTGTATTTATGATCCTCTCAAGAATGGAAGTAGTCATCACATACAGAGCATTTGTTGGATTTTTTCAGAAAAATCCTGACATTTTCTCAAAATCCTGACTTTTTCTCAAAATCCTGACTTTTTCTCAAAATCCTTACTTTTTCACAAAATTCGCAATTTTTCACAAAATTCGCAATTTTTCACAAAATCTCAAAATTCTGACTTTTTCTCAAAATCCGCAATTTTTCACAAAATTCGCAATTTTTCACAAAATCTCAAAATTCTGACTTTTTCTCAAAATCCGCAATTTTTCACAAAATTCGCAATTTTTCACAAAATCTCAAAATTCTGACTCTTTCTGAATACTTAAATGTCAATAATCCCTGGTCCCCGGCTTGAGCTTCAATCTCAGGATCCATGTATCTGTGATCCTCTCCAGAATGGAAGTAGTCATCACATACAGAGCATCAACTAGTTCCTGAACAGTGTCCTTCACATGCTGATATCCAAGAGAGGGAGTTACACAGTCACAAGATGGAGGAATAGAAAGCAGTATTCAATGTTTACTTCAGATTAGCTCCACGTCAGAAATGAGCATGCTTGTCATATGTCTCTCTCCATAGAGGCTGAATCATCATGTTAATCACATAGCTATCATATGCCTCAAACAGTCCTGATGCTCTTCTAGGTAATCATACATCCTGTCATGTTCACAGCTACAGTTGGGATACCTTTGTTAGCATGTTACTCTCACATTGGAAGAGGACATTCAGGATTTTCACAGCAAAAGTCGATATACATGAGATATACACAAGAACAGAATATGAAATTAAATAATGTACATTAAGACGGAATTAAATACGGTTTATTGCGGTGATAACTATTTAGATAAATAAGTAGATTGCAAAATGACAAACAGATGAATGTTTAACGAGGTGTAGTTTGTCCACAGATTTCGATCAATCCAATAAAGTGAAACGTCCTCTGATGATGAGATGTAAAAGTTCTCAAGGGTTGCGAGCAGAGCGTTCCTTCTTCTTCCTCCTCTTCCTCCTGAGAGAACAATGCAGCTTTGTGATTGCATCGTGACAGAGTGCAGCGCACTCATCTTCCTGCTCTTAGTAAATCACTGGGTAATCTCTTTGTGGGAATATCTCAGAGTCTCAGAGTGAATATCTCAGAGTGAATATCTCAGAGTCTCAGAGTGAATATCTCAGAGTGAATATCTCAGAGTCTCAGAGTGAATATCTCAGAGTGAATATCTCAGAGTCTCAGAGTGAATATCTCAGAGTCTCAGAGTGAATATCTCAGAGTGAATATCTCAGAGTCTCAGAGTGAATATCTCAGAGTGAATATCTCAGAGTCTCAGAGTGAATATCTCAGAGTGAAGCTCCGAGTGCAAAACCAGACAAACGAGGGATTCAGGAAATATATTACATTATTAAATTCTACATGATTGCACTTTCAGTGACTGATTAGCAGTAAGAGAATTATTGGAGGATTGTCTTCAGTGAACGATAACTGGAGATATTTACCCAAAGAACGATATTAAACTCCGCACTAATAATGGACGACTTTCTTCACATCTATGGGTGGTCTCCAGGTTAACAAGTCGCTCTCGAGCAGTGCTTCTCAAACTGTTTTCAGTAATGTACCCCTTTGAAACATGTTCTCAGCCCCCTGACCGACCCCGAACATTTTTGATCGAAAAAGCCTATATAAATAATTCCAATATAGTGATGTTCCCTCAGTGCGTGATTTATTAACTCCTTCGTGCATGAATTACAACAAACTAAGGATATTTTCATTTTATGCATAAAAAAAAATAACATTTTTATAAAACAGATTTTTCCAAGGAGTTTTTCAACTGAAGTAATATATGTTTAACAAACCAATTAACAAAATGATATATTGTGAAAAACTATAAGATACAATACACACATTTGACATGTTTTTTGGTGGTTCTAGGAATATTTGATATAAAATGGTGTTTTCTATTTAACTTATTGTACTAAGATTATTTTTGTAATCATGCATGGTATTTTTTTAATTAACTTTTCTTTATTTTATTTTTATCTCACGTACTCCCTGCAGTACCCCAACGTACCCCTAGGGGTCTGCGTACCCCCATTTGAGAACCCCTGCTCTAGAGCACAGTGATTTTAGCCTCTGCAGACCATTTACATGCATTCAAAGCCCCAAATCAACATGGTGTGTTTCTGATTGCCTCCCATTAAAAGGCCCTGTGTGCAGATCTTAAATCTCTGACTGAATCCCGTTCATTATCCATTAGAAGCTCGTCTGCATGCCTTACATTCTTTATGAGGGACCCTTTAAGACGTGAGGGAGAAGAACAACAGCTGATTTATGGCCATTGTTACTCAGAATATAATTGGTGTGTTAAATGGATCGCCTGCAGAGCAGAGAGTCTGAAAGCTGTCTGCTGTTTTCAGACGAGCTGGAGAAGAGGGAGAAGACATTTCCCTCACATCTGTCTCTTTCTGTCTGTCGAAGAGCGAGACCCCCCACAGAGTGAAGGTATTAATCATTCATTAGAAAGCTCTGCAGCACAGGTCTAATGATGCCTCCATGTTGACGTTGCTAACATGTTGCAGCGAGTCAGAGTCTCTCTGCTTTTCATCTGAAGCTCTGACTGACTGAAACCTCTCTCTCTTATTCATAATGAAAGTGATGAGACGCCTCCATGTTCACGCTGTTAGCATCTCACCTATCATCTCTTCTGTTTCATGTCTTCACTGAAACTCTGGAGCTTCAAACAGATTCTCTAACGACACAGAAGTACATGTCCTCACGTACCTCTGGAGGTGTTGAGCTGTACAGATAGCCTCTCAAGTTCTTTAGGGTTCAGCCTGTTTTCAGTGTGAATAGCTTCGTGCTAACTTCTCCCTCAGGAACAAAGAAAGCAATCCGTCCAGATCACTGGGAATGGCATCAATATTTCACATAATACATCCAATTACACTTTCACTTGTTACGTTTCAATAAATGACACTTATACTTAGCATCATGGGAACCAAACAGGTCTTGCTTTTAGCAGAAGAAGTAGTTCCTCCAGATTATCCAGAGTAACTGAACACTGTCTTTGCGTTGAGATGCTTTATTTAATTCCATTTCATTGGAGGAAACAAGCTTATACAAACTGCCCTGTATGCTGTAAGCACCTGAGGATTACTCTATTGAATTTAGGCTGAGGAAAAAGACATATTGCGCGGGCAGAAGAAGTTTGCTTTCTCTTCTGCTGCTCCAAAAATAAGTAAAAGAATAATGAAATCAAGGTGTTTTCACTTGAAATAAGTCCAAAAATCTGCCAATAGAACAAGTGAACATTTGCTTTGTAAGATTTCTTGAAGTAAGAAGGGATATTTAGATAAATCACATCTTGTAATTATCAGGAGAACTCATTGTGAACTATATTTCACCAGAATCAGGAGATGATGTTGTTACAGAATAAGCCACAAATACTCAAATGTTTTCTGTTTCCTGACGTTGGTGATTTCCTAATAAATAAATATGTGTTTCATCTGAGATACGACTCAAAATAAGATGTTTTGACTCAACAAGATGATGCTTTGTCTAAAAACAAGACCTGATATCTCACTGCAGTGTCACTCCTGAAGTTAGTGTGTCTTATATCAGGTGGAGAGACATATTCTATAGATATTAGACACATATACTTGGCAAGATTTCTAGTTTGTGTAGTGTAGAAAAAGAGCCGGGTAACGATGGGAGTAGAGAGGGATGTGAGAGAGCAGAAGGGCAGTGAGTGTTTCCTGAAGGTTAAGACGGGGGGAAACACTCGCCCTGACAGAGGAGAGAAGTTCATCCAACAATCAGACCCTCCAGAGGGAGAGTCTGCACACAGTCACACTGATGAGAGACAGCAGGAAGTGTAATTACAGACTGCAGAGCCTCGGGGCTTCTTCCTCCTCTGTTTCGTTCAATAACACACCAAGGATGGAGTAGTGAAACTCAGAAACATCAGTTTTATCTGGGGAGAATACCTGTACATGTATGCAGAGGAGAAGGTGTTAATATTTACTTTAAACTGTAATGAATGTACATCTTATACGACAACATACACACATTTTCAAATACCTAAAAATCTCTAATTCTCAACTTCGTGTGTGTGTGTGTGTGTGTGTGTGTGTGTGTGTGTGTGTGTGTGTGTGTGTGTGTGTGTGTGTGTGTGTGTGTGTGTGTGTGTGTGTGTGTGTGTGTGTGTGTGTGTGTGTGTGGTGTGTGTGTGTGTGTGTGTGTGTGTGTGTGTGTGTGTGTGTGTGTGTGTGTGTGTGTGTGTGTGTGTGTGTGTGTGTGTGTGTGTGTGTGTGTGTGTGTGTGTGATCAGACTCTCCAATAATACTTTTAAACTGCGATATGTATTGAAAAAAACTGGAATAATTGCAGTAAATTCGAACGAAAGGTTGCATTTTTAAAGTTAAAGGGGACCTATCATGCAAAGTGCACTATTGTACGTCTTTTCTACATGAATATGTGTCCCCGGTGTTCCAGGGAACTCACCAAGTGTCAGAAAACACAACCCTCTCTATTTTCCTCCATACCCAAATCTCTAAAAAAGGGGCTGCAACGGATCTGATAAAAACTGATCCAGATTTGAACACTGTCCTGACGTCAGGACGGTGGCGCTACGGCTATTGGGCCAACTCCACCAATCAGGAGGAGACAGCCACGGCCATTGGAGCCGCTGGAGACGCTGTAGTACATATGCCAGGCCTGTAGGTGGTGCTGTTCTCACTGAATCAACCCAGAGCTAATCCAGGGCTAAAAATTGTCAAATTGAGCAAAATGAGGCATGGC